ACCCCACCCTGCACTCTGGCGAGGCTAGCTCGTCGGAACGGTCCACCGTCGGGGAGGAGTTGTTATTCACCCAAGCTCCTCCCATCCCGCAGAGGGCGAGTTCTCTCTGTCCCCCAGGAGAGGAGTCCCAGCGCGGATTGGGTCCGGGCCCTCCTTGCTGGATACCGGACCCATCCATTCGCGTGAGGTGAACCGCAGCGGGTTTTACCAGGTAGGGCCTCCACTTACTGCCCTTCTCAGGGCGGCCTGTCCTTTTCAGGACGGGGGTGGAGGAGGAGCCCTGGTTTAAGGCTTAAGGTGAATTTCCCCTGCGTTATCAAAAAAAAAAAAAAAAAGGTCCTGGGTAGCACAGTGGTTAGAGCAGTCGCCCAGATTTCTAAAATTCATGGGTTCCAGTTCCATCTCACAGTGCCAGGGACAAAGTGCATTTTTTAAACATTTTTCATTCAGAACCTTATACAATTTACATATGCCGAGATCGCAGGGTACACATAGAACTTGTTTTTATGTTTATTTGAGTGATCTATGAAGGTAACGTGCTTCTCACTAAAAGTTTAAACTTTGCATATTTTGACACTTAATGCAATTATATCAGTGTGGAACTAAGATAATGTTGTAAAGGCATTTACGATTACACACTAAGCTCTCAGACAATAAAAGCAAGTAAACTACAGAGGCTATATAAAAGAATAGTACATATTTACTTCTAACATGCTCATTACATTATATAAACATACGATATTTTTCAAAATGACGGAAATGATATTTTTCAAAACGACAAGTAGTGAAATTTACATATTACTTTAGTCTACTTTTCAAGGGTTTATTTGTCCTAAAATTAATATCACATTATATATATTGTTAAAGTATAACTTCATACTTATACTGTAGAATAAGCAGTCATACCTATAATGAATGGTAATTAAAGTTGTGATGGAGATTTTGTTTCAATATTTGAATAACACATTAAATTATTGTTGGCATATCCTCTTAAAAAACAAATGAACCAGATAAAGGTAAATATACAACTTAGGCTGCTTAATAAAAACTACTATTCTGTTACTTAAAATTAAATGTCATCTTGAAAAATTCAACCTTCTTATCGAAATATTTACAAACTGAGATCACTTACAATTGGTTCTTTTTTATACATTTCCTACAAACATATTCTTAATATTGATTGTTAATAAATATGTAAAACTTATTGGATTATGATTTTGTCATAAATTGTTTTAATGACACAGGTATAAATAGTATAGTGGGTAATTTGGATAAAAGATAGCTTCAATGAAGATATTATGGCAATTTTGATATTTTGTATCTATTAAATACCTTATCATATAAAATATTATTGAATGATTGCAAAAAAAAACTATGCTCAAAATCACTAGCGCCAGAATTGCGAAAATAGATTTTCTTTATCCGGAACCGTATAAAGTTGTTTTAATTATGAATAGCTAAAACAACTTTATACCATTTTATTTTTCATTATATCTAATAATTATACTAACAAAGAGCCAATATAAAATACTCCAATGTTTAACACAGCACCATAAGCTTTTTCAAAAATATTGTTCATAACACAAGTCGCCTGTCTCTTCGCTTTGAAATCGAAAACCACAGACAACTCAAACTTCCAGACCCGAAACAATAAAAAAGATAAAGATTCTCCCAGAATCAAACGCCGGGCCCTAAGATATGACTATATAAAATAAATAATATTTGATTAATTAAATACTAAAAGCATACATTAAGTAAAAAAATGGAAATAATAATAATTAAATGTCTTTCGTTCTTTCAGATCTTGTAAAAAAATTATAATATTCTATTTAAACAAAAATTTAAGGTATTTCGCAAGAGCAGTGGACGCATGACATTGCTCAGTTCTCTCATATTTCTTTTTTAATAATTAATGTGTTTATATTTAATTATATATTTCATACTATTGATATGTTTGGTGCTTATAATATTACATTCAATTGTATCAAACTATCAATATGGTTAATTTCAATTTTCTAAATACATTTGTCTTTTACAGATTTTTTAGAGCCAACAGACAAAATAAACGCATTTAGAAAACTGACACAAACCATATGCCTACATAAATTAATACATTAACACTAAAAATCCTAGATACAACATCGTCTACGAATTTAATTCAAAAACCGTCATCAAAAACAGGCATGAAGAAACGTATTTTGTTGTTCTAAGTTACTGCTTTACCAAAATGAATCTTAAGATTGTTTAGTAAGACTTAACTATTATAATTTTGATATCTTATTAAGAATCGCAATGTTTGCGATAATAAAAGAAACAAGTATAATACTGAAGTAGGCAATCCTTTGCGAGGATTGGCGTGACGTGAAGATATACATAGATAGATAGAAGTATAATACCACCTATTGGGAAGCGTCAATATCTTGTTTTACTATAAATCTGAGATTTGAAGAAAGTTTGTAAAGATGTCCTTTAGCAATAATATGATATTTCATCCTTTATTAAGATCAAAAATATATTACTCTGCACTTGTCTTTTAGTGTACGTATTTAATATTAGTACATTTCGATCTTGCCGTTATTGACGTGTCCATGTTGTATCTAAAGTTTTTTAATCAGTATCAACAATATTACATTTTAAGCTCAAAACATACAATAAGAGTAATGTCGAAAAGACAGTTGTAAGTAAATAGTTAATCATCAATTATTAATACTCACGCCATCTATCGATAGTATAAGTAATAAAACGGTGACCAGCATTTTCACTATGTTGACATAAGCACGTGACAAGCGTACTGATCAATTTAACGGTAAGCACAAAAAATTAACAGTAAAAATATTGTGAAATCTACCTTGAACCTTATTTCTAACTGTATCTAAAGAACTTTCACCGAGTTTGTTCACAAGGTTAAATATCTTGTGATTTTTTTATCCGCGCTATGAAGATTAATTTGCGAAAAATAACTAAAATTTTAGTAGCACAGTGGCGTAGTGAAAAAGCGCCAAGGCCCGCGGTGTTTGTTGTAAAGCAACTTTCGCAAGGGTTGGTCACGGAATGGGTGACCAAAAAATGTGTATCTCGAGCTACTCCGTGCTTCGGAAGGCACTTTAAGCCGTTGGTCCCGGCTGCATTTGCAGTCGTTAACACCCTCCAATCCGCATTAAGGCAGCGTGGAGGGTCATGGCCCATTCTCCTTCACCAACCATAAGAAAGGCCTGATGATGAGGATGATGAACTAAAAAATTATCGCATGCCTATTTAAAGTGATAAAATACATACAACACTAATATTGTGTGGATCAGAATGGTGGGTATGTTTACAAATTGTGATATTTTGTACGCATGAGGCGATCGTACAAGCAAAGTATGTAAATATGAGTTACTGAACTAAGTTCAATAGAAAAGTTATTTCCAAAAGAAAAATAGTAGAAATTTTTCGCGTTTTCAAAACTCCTCAAAATATTTTGTAACAATATGGAGAACATTATTTGTTATCAATAAATAGGTATGAGGGGAATAAAAAGCGATCAATAAATTTTTCTAACATATTGTGGTTCGAGATGCCGCCGGCGACTTAAGCGGCTCATCGCCGACTGAAATTGGTATTAAAGATAAGTGAAAATATTTTCAAACTAAACATTACTTTAAATTTAATGCACATAAAGCCATTCTGATACGCAGAAAAAAAAATAAACTAAAAATTGTAATATGATAATTACTGATTTGTTAATTAAAATACATTGTAGTATCAGACTACGACAATTATAAAATTATATTTCAGCTTTAACTACTTCTTACATTCCTAATGATGACAAAATTTTTGCCATATACGCGAAGTACATATAAATTACAATCACAACATTATTCCATGTAGTATATTAAGCTAAAATTATGTATTAAATATGGTGAATATAATTAATTTTCTTATAAATAATAGTTTTATAGGATCGTATATATTAGATGCTACCAGCTGCAGCAAACTGGGTTTTCTGCGGCAGTTACCACGTCTGAATAGTGAAGAAAAGAAAAGGTTAAGCCCAATGAAATACTTTATTCTACATTATATGTCTCTTAATCTTGAAAAAAACATTTAATTAAGTAAATCTTTGTACAGAATATGTAATTTGAACCTAACTGCGTATTCAACTTTCGTATGTTCGCAAGAGTCATGTCCAATTGTGATTGATGTGATATATCTCAAAATGTTGCTTATTTTTTACTTATTTCATATTAGGAAACTAAACCTTAAAAAATGGTCACAATAAAATTTGCGAGGCTTATAATTATTGATAAATAGTACTATTATTACTACCCGAATGCGATTGGCTACGTTTGGTTCTATCTAATAGGAAAATATTGTAAAAAAAATTGCACATTAACAATAGGGATGACGACTGGGTAAAAAAAATGCGATTCTATTTAGTCCGTCAGTCAGATAACAGAAAAATATTAGATACGTATTTATTTTACTTCAATTTAACAAGAAATAACTTAGATAACGGGCATTAAAGTTCCGGAGTGCGGGCTCGCTACGTCACAGTTGAGTAGAAAACGTACCATAACGTGACGTCATGCGAAATTTCAACTCAATGTAACGCCGTAATTTTATGAATACGAAAAAATTAAAGACATACGCTTTTAATATTTTTTAACACTCTACCTGACGTACAAACAAACAAAAATTAGTCATCATCCCTATTATCTTTAGATTTATTATCATATTTAAGAGGCAACCTTCACAATTATCTCAAGTTTTGACAGCTGTTATAACCTCAAAACATGATTTGTAAATTACAAATATCCCTCGTTTTGTGATGAAAAGATTCTAAGATATTTTTCTATTTTAGGTAAAAACTAATTTAAATTGTCACCCACCATTAGGTGGGTAGACGCGACCTCTAAAAAAAACACGTGACAGGTCAGTCATTGAATGGAAAGTGGACATGATTCAATGTTTACAGAATCGCAGGGCTGTTCGATTAATGAGATTTACTTACCATTGATCTATATGAATGTGTATAGCATCGGCGAGTTGGTGAAGTGATGTGCTCTGTTGACGTGGGCTATTAGCCGGCCGTCGAGCAGATGTCTAGCGTACTGTATCGCCTCGTGGTCGTCTTTAGCGAGGCCACAATTCACTAGCCAACGGACGAGACAGGAGCCGCGGAAAACGCCGCGGTACGTACGCATACGCCATCTACCCGCAAAACGACTGACGTTTAAATTTTTGGACTTTACTTTTATTTAATAACTATCTAACAAGACGAACATTATCCTTTATTTTCAAATAAATTTCAATATTTCCACACACTTTTCTATATATTTATTTTTCTTTTATAAGAACCTTCTTCTCAGAAAAACAAAAACAACAAAAAAGAATTATCGAAATCGGTCAAGCGTGTGACGGCATGCCCTAGGGAAATAGGGATTCATTTTTATATATTTAGACTAAATAGTTCATGGAATCCAACCCAGCGGAATACACCGTGTGAGCATCTAGAGGGCTCAAAGTGCGATACAAATAACAAAAGTACTCCCAAACTGCCATTTTACTTCGCTTTGCGTTTTAACTTCATAGTGAAAGATGGGAAAAAAAGGAAGGAAATTATATATTTTTAATTTTAATAATCAATACATTATCATACTATAAGAGTGAAATAAATACATATAATTTTTTTCTGGTAGTGTTTAATACACTATTACCGATAATCATCACATTAATGCTTATAATATTTTTAATATAGCTTAAATTAATTATGACAAATAAATATTTTATACTCCACAATCACAAATAGCGCGTGACGTCACGCCCCTCTCACTCATATCAGAACTTAGAGAATTAAACATTATGCAGGCATAGAACGATATTAATTTTAGATGGGTGTGATATCATAGTGACGGCATAACAGAAAATTCCGTTCTAGCGAGAAATTTTGAAAATTAAATTAATTTTTAGACATATTATATGAATTATACTTTTGTCATAAATATTTTTTTAGATAAATTTCATGTATATCTATAAATTAAAAATATAAAAAAGTCGTATACACCCCAATTAGTTAAAGTTGTTATTTATGATCCTAAGCTATCTAGAACTGCGATGTTGTTGGTGTTTACCAGATAAGCTTGTATATGGGTAAACATTTTTTTAAACAACTTTTTTTTAATAATTTGTGTCTGATCTTAAGAATCAAATTACCTTGTATCTTTGGCAATAGCTTCTCTGCAACGTTCGAGATGATGAGTTATAAACTGGTCACACACATGTTTCGTTTCAAAACTGAGATCTTCGATTGCTGGCAACACTACCACTTCGGAGTCACCGTACCTTAAAAAATAAAAGCAATTTAGTAACATAGTAGTAGGTACTCGAAATAAAATAATGTGACATTCTGAAAGTAAATAGTAACTATGGAAACCTTAAAATTTATGAAACTTGTGACGAGATTATACATAGTAAAAAAACACAAAAATAATATTGTCGTTTTTATGTATCATATCTCTAACTGGTATCTCTATATTGCCATATTTAGACATTTTTCTATATACCTCCTCACGTGATTTATGAATGACATAAAAATCTAAATCAAATCTCACCACTTCCTCTTGAAATATCTGACAGTAGGTATAAGGATCTCTTCAGGGTCGAGTCCAAACAGAATGAACATAACAAGCGCCTGTCCGTAATTAGCGGCAATGTCTAGGAATTCTATTTCTATGAAGACTCCACTCTCATCCCTTAACATCATCCGCCAGGTGGTGTATGCGATACCCTGAAATATTGTACGAATTTAAATATAGTAACATCCAACTGATATGACACCTCATGACAGGCGTCCTGATTCACTAGTTGTAACCGGTAAAGTCTCACTTTCATGGTATACTGTGATCGTTAGGCTGATGGTAAAAACTCTACGACTGACAACTCATTATACATCATCAGCCCTTCTACAGCCCCACTGCAGGGTCTCAGGCGTTTCTTATGGACCCACCCATCCCGTGATCGACCCTCGCGAAAGTTGCTTAACAACAACAATCGCGGAACGCGGCGCTTCACTACACCACCGAGCTAGACACGACTGATAAGACTAATAAAATTTTGGCTACCGCAGAAAGAACGTTTTTATCTCTCTGTAGCGCTTGTTTTTGGTTGCGCCTCAATGGCACAGGAAAGATTTTCAGGGCTAGCTCTACTAAATATACATAGAGATATGCACCTAAACGAAATAATTTATATTTCGTAAAAATGAAGCGTAACAATTTTAAATTTAAGCATTTACCTATACTATGTTATACAATATAGATAAATAAATTAATAACAAATTTAATTTACCAAGGAAACCATATATTCAAACTCATAACTCAACTAAAACTATAAAAAATCGTTCAAACCGTAGGTTAAGTCCATGATTATTCATGAGTGAGTTCGTACTGTGATTCACAAGTGACCGATTTTTGGGTGGCTGTGCATCATTTCCGATGATAACCGAACATATAACAAAAATTTATAACGACTCTTATTCTTATAAGCATAAGGTGTAAAATATGACGCAATATGGAACTGTTGCGTACGTAACTAGCGGAGAGTCGTACTCTTATACACGTACATGTAGTGGTATGTTCCAAGGACAGCCGCAAAACGGACAAATATGTTTTGAGCGTCGACAGACGAAACGTGTATACATATATATACACAGACCTATGTATCGTTTCCACGAATTATTGAATTTTGTTATACGAAATGCTAAAAGTTGCTGCCTCCACAGTCCGCGGAAACACTAGCAGTGCTATTAATAAACAAGGTTTAGCGTTAGAATAAATTAACGCTAAAATTGCAATTTTAGTATTAGCTTCACATAATATAGAAAACAATCAAACCTAATACCTTCTAGAGGTAAATATTACCTATATAAAACCTCGTACTCGGTTAACTTTGCTAAGTCTCTGTTTAAAAACATGAATTTTGACTAATACTAAGTGCAGTCTCAGCGTAAATTTACTCCAACGATAAACCTTGTTTAATTAATAACACTATTAAGGTGTATGTTTAGCGATATGTATAGTTTACTTTTAATAAATACCTCATTTACCTGTCCTAGCAATTAAATAGTAATGAATTGGCTACTTGACAGATAACAATAAATTTTGGAATATGTTGGAAATAGACACTTATATATGTACAAGTTATAACAAATATGTAGTTTTTTTTTAAATTAAGTTTACTGTTGCTAAATTAACTTGCGCTTTATAAAACTGTCGATTACAAAAACCGAAACGCCGGCGGCCATTATGGAGCATCTTGTGACGTCACATTTCACTAAACGTCAACGTAAATGCGAAAGCAATCAGTTCAATTTCAATAAAGAATAATAATGTGTTTTTTTTTTATTATTTAGTAACACTTTTTGGAGAAAAATATTTCTGATAGTGTGTATATGATCACATGAACAATTTAAAATACCCAACAGTAAACAGTTTATCGACTTCGAGCTATTTATAGAAGGGCTTTGTTTTGAATAATAACTCACAATAAACATGCTGAGACTGTATGCAATGATGAGTACTGTGTGTTTAAGCAATTGTCCGCCACGCCCGCGAGTTTGCTCCGGTGGCAGGAGGCCCAGCTGACTCGCGGCCCTCTCCAACTCGTTCAGGTAAACGCATGTACCGTTGGGGGCATCGCAACGCGGCAATGATGAAGGGCAAGCGCAGTCCTTACTGGAATATTAAATTTGATATATAACTATTGCACGGTACAAATATATTCGTGTCGATGTATTTACTTCTTCTAAGCTCTTTTTTATCTACATGGGTCTATTTTATCAGAGTGTTAAAGTACACAACTGATCTTCCGTCCAGTGTGCAACGTGGATATTTATACGTTTTTTTTTAAATAAAAAGTTATGTATTTAAACCATTATGATTGAAATTTGAACATTAATACTCTTTGAATCAATATTCAAAGACAATAAATGTCTGCAAAAGTTCAAATATTGAGGACATATTCATATATATCGTGTTGGAGACATTTATATATGTCAGACATTTATAGTCTTAAAAACAATGGCGATGAGATCAAATATGTCCCCATATACTTTTATCATAGAGATAATCTCAGAACCGGCAATAACTCACTGTGGGGACCCAGTGCTTATTTTGGGTATTAATGTTTGTATAGGTATATATCCAGAATCAACATCTCAGGCTATATACACACGACGCATGATTTTCATAAGCGGTTTCCATTTCCATAATTCGTTTATTTACGTTACGTTACTTTGGTTTGGGTCACTAGCTTACATAAGTGTATAGTATTTCAAATCAATCCCTCTTATTATAAAACGAGGACTAAAGTTAGTACTTTCCATTTCCATAATTCGTTTATTTACGTTACGTTACTTTGGTTTGGGTCACTAGCTTACATAAGTGTATAGTATTTCAAATCAATCCCTCTTATTATAAAACGAGGACTAAAGTTAGTACTTCGACCGCCTACAGCAAATTGATATTTAGACTTCTAGTGGTTAGTTAAGGAACAATATCAGCTGTGACAAACGGACGAAGAGACAGACAGAGATATAAATCATACAATAATTAGTTTTTTAGCTTTTTTAAAGTGAGCAATCTTTATATTTTCATATCGGATATCGATTCAACTTTGTAGTAAAAAAAAAATACCGACACAAAACAAAAGAGAAAAAAAATAGTTCATTATATAAAAAGAACTTACGGTGGAGTACTGCCGTTTCCGATATCTTCGATGTCTTGACTGTGTATTAAGCCGTTCTGACAGTTCGGATCGTCAGAACAACAGCCTGAGTTTATATTTCTATTCGGCGACGGGGTAGCTGTTATAGTTCCATAACATCCTGTATTACCATGTTTTTTCAATACTAATAATTGAATTTAATAATAAAATAGTAGTCCAAAATAGAGACGGCACAAAAATGGCATAGCCCTTGAAGTCGATTAAAAAGGAATGTAACAATCCAATGCATTAACCAATGGGCGACATAAGACAGATCACCTATAGCTGACACCTAGGACAGATCATCCTATAGGACTTATATTACACATAATTATTAACAACTGCATATCAGGGGTGCGACCGCCTAACTCATGGACGTAGCCGTAGTCGTAGCCGTAGCTGTAACCTACGCTTTATAGGTGTCTACACACGAATCTGTTGATATTGTTTTAAAATTAATTATTTACACATTTAATCAATGCTTTTAGTTGTCTTTGTTTGCTGAATAATTAAAGTTAAACGAAATTTACAAAATGTCGAATTGTTACAAATAATGCTATTTCGAAAAGATGCCAAAATGTTTGATAAAATATATAAATAAAAATAAAAAATTTAAAAGAATATAAACAGAGTCATAAGAAATATCGATAAAGCGTAGGTTATAGCTACGACTACGGCTACGTCTATGAGTTAGGCGGTCGCGCCCCAGGTTCCCCTGTGTATCAGGTTATCCATAATTATTAAGTACAAATTTAAAAATCTTGACTTCTCCAAATGATTTGTCCTATAATAAGTTGAAAAGTAAGTTCAAATTGAATATACATGTTTTTCATAATCTTGCTCGTCTAATCACAAATAAAATTTTCAGACAATCTTTAAAAATTATAACACAGCTTTTCAATGTGTGTAAGTAATAATAATTGATATAGGTATTTAATAAAAAAAATACATTTAGTTACCTTGCTCCTCTGTACGACATATTTTAAAAAGAAAAATACAAATTTAATACTTGAAAGCACAATATACGAGATATATTGCAGAACTAGTATGTTACGTGGTATTCACTGGTTTTAAGGTAACGTTTTGTCTTAGATCCCGATCAGGTAATTAGTCTGGATGTTGTGGTATCTTCGTTGAACTAGATTTCCATTACCCAAGGTCTTTTAGCTATTCACTATTATTTAAGCACCTAATATGATGTTGTCAAATATAATTAATTACCCAGTGGTGGCAAAATCTCACGGAAAAAGAAATGATTAGTGCATTTCTTCTCTCTATAAACTTTAACTTTCCTACATAACAAGTCTATACTCAAGTCTATATCAAGTCTATTCTTTTTCAAGTCTATAATCATATTATAAAGAAGAAGGATTTTATTGCTTGTTTGTTTGCACTGCATAGGCTCCGAACCTATGGACCAATTTATAAGTCTTTCATCAATGGGAAGCTAGATAATACGCTCGATTCACTCGATTAACCTTCATAAAAAATGTACATACTCCTTGAACATAAAAAAATCCTCTTTTCGGATTTGAAATAAATTCCAAATACGCAATCTTTTGTTTTTATCTGAAATACACGAAATACATATAATCTAAATATTAAGGTGATAACTGGTGAAAAGTGTATTTTGGTTTGTTATAAAAAGACTACTCATAACAATAAAATTTAAATGGGAACACCTCGGTCCATTGAGCTGTCGAGAAACAATTTTTTTTGAACCGCCTTTTGGATTTTGAAGTCGGTAAAATAGGAATACAAAGTTTTGCTTCACATAGTAATATACAGGGTTAATTATAAAACACCAGTCTAACAATTTCGTAAGACTAAAAGCGTACTATGATATTAACATGACAACGAAATTCGTCTATTTTCGAAATGGTAATACGACTTCAAATATTTATGATGCAACGTTGGAGTTGACACTGACTCTGATGCACATATAATCTTCACAGATATGTTTTTTATAAAATATTTAAAATTTCCCGAATTTAATAATTCGTTTGAGTTAAAGATAATAGTGTTTATTATAAAAGCACTTGTTCTATGACTTTAGATGTATCGTAAATTAATTAGGTTATACTATTAACACTCCGTAGATCAAACGTTGTTCTCTATGATGTGACAATAAGATACAACTGATGTTAATGCGCACAAAGCTAAATTCCGAGGCTCAGTAAACCAACTAATTGACTAATCAGAATTGCAAGATCCATGCGTCTGATCCCCGCTGAATGTGAGTAAGACGTGCATATACAATTTTACATTTTACTTTTATTGAAACAAGATTAGCTTAAAATTTTAATTATACGTTCATCGTCGAAATTGGTGTATCTGCCCTGCGCAAATGAAATTTCCCCAACCACCATGTTAGTTGGGACTTACTGTAACTATCAAGTCTTGCGAGGTTGCTCGTGTTTTATAAATAACCCTGTATAAATTAACAAGACTTAATATTCATTTCGTAAGTTATATGTTATAGTTAAATTAAAATACAATAATAACATGCTATTATACATTACCATTGTTTGATATAGACTGGGTGTTTGATACAGGCTCGATGTTTTCAATGAGACTAGTCGATTCATCCGGGGGCGATCCCGATACTTCAGCGGACAGAGTAGCGAATTGAGCGCTACGTCTACGAAACCGGACGTACACAATGAGGCAGCCCGACGTCACTGTATATATATTTTCAATTGTATAAAAAACCGTATATAAATGTAAACACATGGTTCTTTATATTTTTCCTCTTCCTCGTCCCCTTCATACTTATTTGGTATTTCGCATCTAGACGCTAAATGCAAACATAGGCGAGGGCGGAAGGGGAGGCTTATTACCATCATTTATGTAGAATTTGTAGATAGAATAATAAATAAGAACTGTAGTTGGGTTTATCTATCGAGTCGGAATTCATTTCAATGTATTAACGTCGCCATCCGGTTAGCTAACACGGTTCGAGCTAGAATGGGCATTACGAGATTCCACTATAAGTAGACTATATTTTTTAAACAAGTAATTTAGTGATTATTATTAGCTATATTGCACTAGCTTGGGGCAGTATAACGTTATGCTAATTGATACTTTAAATGTTATCACAAAAAATGATTAATATATATATTTTTTTCAAATTAAATTTATGCAAGCACGGTTATGAAATAGTGCAGTTATGCTAATCGATACTTTAAATGTTATCACAATAAATTATTAAAAAAATTTATTTCTATTTTCAAATTAAATTTATTTACACTTGAGATAATGTTTTTTTTTTTTAATTTTGTTTAACGAAAACTTACTTTTGATCCATTCAGCCAGTCCAGCCTAGCTTCTCCAGCTGTCCAGCCAAGTTTGTAGTATATTACTCACCAGTCAAACAAAATATGAGAATGCACAACCAAAGTTTGTAGCTATTGATCAATTACTCACCAGTCAAACAAAATACTAGAAGGCACAGCCTGATGGCATCCGTGGCTCTGCCGTCTAGGTCGCCCGCGGCACCTTTAGTAGCCAGCAGAATAGCCGTCATCACCCCAGGCGCTCCCCACGCTACGAAACCCAACACTGGCCACAGCGTTACCACGAAGCAAGGGCCGCGACTCTAAATAATATTCACTTTTAATAGGTACCTATATGTCTTATTTTGAACCGGGAATACTTTTCCATATACGTTTAAAAATATTATATATTATAACGGCTACATATGTAATGGTGGATTAATAGTCGACGCTCTTTTAAAAATGTATCTTTTTACTACATTGACTTATTTATGTATGGCTAGGTTTCCTTTATATTTGTTTATGTTAATAAATAAACGGAAGAAATAGAGTTAAAGCATAATAAGACGCGATATTACCGCCTATACTATCGTACAGATGCGAGGACTTATCTAATAATAATAGTGCCTGTTCTAATGCCTAAGGAATTTTGCCAGGAAACAAGCAACATTGGACTTTTTCCCTTTATATGTGGCACATAGGGGAAAATTCGCCACTGTCTGGATGGGAGTTAAGAAAAAAGATATGACATGACTTTATCTTTGAGTAATCTCTGTTTCAGTATCATTAAACCACTTAGTTGTTGATGCTTTATTCATTATTAAGCTCAGTCTAAAAGATTCATTGAGCACATTGTAATTTTCTGGCCTTTAATCTCTAATGGGATAATAAATATGAACTCTTAGACTATGCGAATAAGAAATAAATTTGTTTGACTTGAAAAATAACCCAAGATCGAGTATCAATGAATATAATTTGCGAATATTTACCTCTAACATAAGTAGCCCAACAGACAACATCGAAGTCCAGAGCAAGCAGGAGAACATACTAAACGTGCGCAGAGCCTCTTGCAGCGTGTAATACCACGAAATTTTGTTATTGGGCAGAGGTCCTCCCCATATCACGCTCACGGCCAGAAGTATCTGAATATATATTAAAATAATATTTATGTGGTTCTTCACGTCAACTCGCGGGCTTTAGTGCGGGCGTGGACACGACATATTAAACACATAGCATTATACGCAAATGTTCCCGTACAAATGCACGTGCGATAAAAGTAACGGACGAGATTACGACTAGCACTCACTCGCGACGTCAGATAAACTACAAAAACATGCATAAACAGCAGATTTTTATCATGTTACTCAATAACGTAGAGTTTATAGTACTGCAGCCTGAACTAGAACTCCAATTTGGCCAATGAACACAATCATATGGGCAGATATTTATTTTTTATATTTATGATAAATAATAAAAAATCATCCTCCAAGTTTGACAACTTATTAATAGTACAACACAGTACCCTACTGTGGCAAACGCATGGCGGCCGATATGAACACGTTTTCTACCACACCTAATATTATTTAATAAAGTAGGTACTATTATCATTTCTCCACATTCACTTATTCTTATTACCAAATTATTGCATTTTATGTTCTTTTTAGATATGTATATTTAATTAATTTTCCTTTATACGAACGGGCATGGCAGAACATCTGCTATTGCTATTCAAATATAACAAATCACACTTCCTTAATTTACATAAGCACATAAGAAAATAAGTTGTAGTTAGGGACAACTCGAACAACTTCATTTCCTATTTCTATTAAGTGAAAAAGTAGATAGCGTAACCAATGACATAAGGTCATAGTATTCATTAGTCGTATATTAAAAACATAACAAAATCAAGAGAACACAATAAAAATACCTGAGAGACAATCAAGCACAGGGTCAGCCTATGAGGCATTCGTTTATGTTTCTTGGTTACAATAAACACAAATAGAACCCAAAGAGCTGCTACCAAAGCCACAATGGAAAGGTCAAAGCCAAATTTCTTTAACTGGTCGGCGTAATCTTTGTTTATTGATATAACTTGAGCAGACAAAAACATCATCGGGGCCGATATAAATGTGCATATAACCATTGAGGACGCCATCTAAAACAATATTAAACATTTTTGAAATAAACATTCAGACAATATTATATTTCATGATAAGTATTAGCATTAGTACTTCTGTTTTTCCAATTATAATGATTTATTCCAAAAGAGATACAATACTGCTGCAAATTATATATATGCAGCCAAGTGGTATAATCAACCGACCAATTCGGCGGCTAGTCTTTAAATTAAATGTCGCCTTTCAATTAAAGGGTTGAGACACGATCAGCTGAGTAGCTAAACACCATGCTCTATAATATGGCTGAACAAATATCAGCCAACTAATTAACTGTCAACTCTCCGGGAACGCTGATATTTATTGGTAGGATTAGAAAAAAAAAACAAAATATATATTGAAATGGATGATATTATTTAAAACTCAAAAACTCCTAGTTACGACTTGTAATTGATACAGACACAGGACTGATTAAAAAGATAACAACAAATTGTTTATTCGCGAATGGTTGTTATTGTTAATGGTCCGTATGATCCAATACAGGAAACTAAGGTACACCCATAACGCAAGAGGGCTAAGCTTAATATCATAAAAAATATTTAATACAATTATACAAAGACAAGATATACCGCGATTAAGACGGCCACAGCCACCTTCAGATGGAAAAATGCCCGAGCGTATTGGACGTTTATGGGCGCTTATTGGGAAGAAACCCAATTTTCTTCCCAATAAGCGCCCATAAATGTTTTTTAACAAAATTTATATTTTTTACCAACATTTATTTGAAATTTAAACGAAAGATCAACTAATTTACTAAATTGTGTTTTGTTGTTAAAGATAAGTAAATATACATTATGAGTAGACAAAATACACAAGATAAAAATACATAAATCAATACAAATATTTTTTTTCTATGACTGATTTTTCATCGCTTAGCAAAAACTATTAAAGTTTGATCAATGATCTTTAGTCAGTAGATTTGTGGAGAAAACACTTACTACGAAAGATTTACGGAAATTCACACGGTTTGGACGCGGTTTTCAGAAAAGTATATTTAGTGTTACCTATTATATAAAAATATCAATATCATTAAAAAGGATGAAATAAAAACTTTAAAAAATAAAACCTACTTCAAACTTAAAAAAAGTGAAAAATAATACTTATCCCAAAAGCGACTTATTCAAGAAAATGCTATTGAAGTCGGGAGTTTATAAATCAATTGCTTTGGAGATAAGTATTATTTTCACTTTTGTAAAGTTTATAGTCGGTTCTATTTTTTTAATTTTTTAGAAGTTAGAACCATTATTTTTAATTTTTAGACTACATATAAAAATGAGTTAATACCCGTTTCAGTGATTGTGGAAATTCCACTCTTGAAGGGTTGAAAATTTACATGGAAGTCCTGTCATTTTTTATGTTAGAGACGTGAAACTTTTTTGGACCACTGATTATTAATGGCTAAATAATTTCGTAAAATCCCATCTTAGTGAGCAACTACGTCCTAAAAAGAACCCGCTTGCAGTAACAAACTTTCATCCCCTAATTTATCCCCTTAGGGGTTGAATTTCATAAATTCCCGACTTAGTGAGCACTTACGTTCTAAAAAGAACTCACTTGCAAAATTTGAAACTTCTTGCACTCACTCATGTGATTTCGTGATGTAAGTCACCCTTTGCTTTTATATATACAAATATAGATAGATCGCGAGCTTATTTACGTCATAATAATCTATACTAAAGTATTAATTTCTTTTAAATAATTCAATATTAATAGCTAAATCATTGATATAGTTCTTAATTTTTTTTTTCTTAAACAATATAATTTTTATGCTCTCTTATCGGGCATTTATCGGGCAAATAAGATTTATTCCCAAAATGCCTGGGTTTTTTCTCTATCTGCCCGCCGGGCGGAAACACTTTGCCCATCTCTAGTTGGCTGCGACATATACACTATGATTTATATTGCACTTTATAAAATATATTTTATAATTATAAAATTATATTTTGAAATTAAGGATTAAACATAGAAAATTAATGGAAAATAAAATAGCAGAAATAAAAAAAAATGCATGTGATATTAAGATGGTATTAAAATTCAATTTGTCTAAGAACATGGCCTGAATACGAGACTTTACGCCGTTTAACAGTTGCCATAAGCGTGCGTTTTTGGCAAACTCGTTGGAGAACTCGGACATTGGTCACCTTCTCGGTCCAGCTTATATAGAGCATGCGCCTATAAGTCCACATCTCGAAAGCTTCTATGCGTTTTCGTAGATCTTCTTTAAGGGTCCATGCCTCACATCCATATAATACCAGGGGCCAGATATAACAATGGAGCATACGAGTTCGTATAAAATATAGCCTAAACTAATTGGGTATGCCCAAATTAATAGTCCTACACTGACCAGATATTTTACTACAGAAAATTGGAATATGTTAATAGGTATTATGATTGTCTTACCAAATCCATTTCCAATTGATATAAATTAGAGAACACGAACACAGCAGGTGCAGTTGGTATGGTTCCGTATAGAAACGCATATGTAGATAAAGAGGAGGTCTCGCTATCATTATTGCCCGCTTGGAAAGCACTCACACTTTCTCTCATCACCATCGGTAAAACTAACCTAAAAACATAAAAAAATAGGATAGCTAAATCAATTTCAATTCTTTTTGTCATTTGAGACTTCTTCTAATACAGATACAGTAGAGCGTCGATTATCCGAACATCGATCAACCGAACGACCGCTTATCCGAACTCCCGACTCTCCCTTCAACAATATTCAATTTCTATAATATAAAATCTGATAACTAATAAAACTGATACCACTTCATCTACTGCAAGTTCAGATAATGAAGATGAAAACATAATTGGTGCTTCAGAAGCGTTTACATGCTTAGATATTGTCTTGCGTTGGTTTGAAACAAGTCGAGAACGACCAGTATCAAATATATGTCCTTATAAAATATGTGACCTAGCCGCTCGTAAACGGGTAGGCTTGCTTCGGCAGATGAAAATTGAAGATTTTTAAGCATTACTAAATTACACTTTATGCTCTTCGATTTTCGCCAATATTGTACTTAGAATGTTTTGTTGCAAATACTTCAGTTTATTTGTTTTTTAATTGCTATTTTTCAATAAAGATATAATTATGAAGGTCGATAAAAAAATATGTATGGCTATATCAATACATAAATAACAAAAACAGTTCGATTATCCGAAAAAAACGGTTTTCCGAACACCCCTGACCCCCAATTAGTTCGGATAATCGACGCTCTACTGTATTGTCATATAAAAGAGCTTTAAATAACAGTGGCGAAGCGGAGATAATATAAAATCACACATTACGGGTTATACAATACTGTCAGTCTTTACTTAATTTTAAACCTTAATTCGTAGAATAGAATAGAATAGGTTTTTAATTTATATAGCTACTCATCTTAGAATCTGAGCAATGTATGTGAAGTTGTTTAATATTTGTCATTATTTGATTTAATATTTATTGCGTGTGTAGTTCAAAATCAATTAAGGAAATGTGCAGACGAGTGAACATATAAAATCTGAACTTCTTGGTTATGGTTCGACTTTACGTCAAAGTTGACCCTGCGACGGAATTAGATTTTACTGTGGGGATGGCTGCAGTGGCATATTATCATTATGCAATCTAAGCCCGTGCCTAGCTATAAAGGGGCGTCAAATTTGACAAAAACGCCCCAGTAGGCTACCTCGCGTATTCGCGTATATTATGGGTATTAACGTGGTTTCAAGTTTTTCTATTGTTTATTTTATTGCTGGTGTATCTGATACGGTTATGCTTAAGAAATAGTGAATGAACAGTCAACAATATTGTTGATCGAAGGTCTAGCTAGGCATATAAAAATGTTTTTAAAAACTAGTATCAAGATTATGAAAAAAATTATAGACTTTTTCGTGTATGATATGTATGATCAAAAGAGGAAGTATAATTCGGCCGAATACAAATAGTCAAAAACATGACGAATACGCCTAATACGTAATACCAAATAAGAATAAACGGCGCATCTCTAATTACGATAAATAATTAAACTATTAAAAAAAAAACAATATAGTATTGCCATATTTGACCTTAAGCAAGTAAATTACATCAGGACATTGATAAATGTTATTGTTCAGTGTTACTTACAATTTAACCATTATCAAAACACAGGGTAGTACCAATGCTGGGCCTCTCAATCTATGTATCTGTCCCACCATCCTCAATCCAAGTAAAAATAAAGCAGATGCTGAGAAAGATTGGCCAAAGACCTAAAAATAATAAAAACAAAACAGTATAATAACATTGAATATGTATGAAGATAGTATTTATATCAATCATTTCAAATTGATCAGATTGGTAAATTTACATTAATAAATTTACAAACCTCCAGCAATCCCTCAATATAAATTGTTATTTTATGTTTAAATACAATATTACCAATTATACCCAGTATTGTCATAACAAGTACTGGATTAAACAGGATGCCTTTCACTATTTGTTTAAACAATTTTAGTTTTGATATTTCAGGTTTTCTGTTTCCTGTAGGATCATGAGCATTTTGACAACTCTCTTTCTGCTTGTTGATTTCCATCAAAACAAAAGCAATTGGGTTTAAGATTGCAAGTGATATGGGTGCCATCAAGTACAAATACAATGCATACTCTGGATGAGTCTTTTCATATATAGCATTAACTGCAAAGTAAAGAAAATTGACCTTAAATAACTCGGTAATTCAATCAATAAACAGTAACAATACTCCCATTTAGCTACTAAAAAGGCTCTACAATATTTCTTTTTATCTATAAAACAAAGTGTAAACTACTTAAATAGTCAGATAATAATTTCAGAGTGAATTTTTTTATAATATTGCATAAGATTATGAATGAGTCATATATGTACGAAATACTTACTGATGGGATAGCCAAGTGCAAAATCATTACTTTGTGTACAGAAAATTGCAAAAATACCAGCTCGTCCTAAATGTATAGGTTTTGACACCAACACTGTAACTAATATAACAGCAAAGAATATAGCTCCTTTGGCAAATAAAATTGCTAATAGAAATGTCCAGTTTACAGTAGTAAAATCAAGTCTTGCAAGTGAGAGAAATATTAATGATGGTAAAGCAAATGTTCCAACAAAGGTAGCAATGCCTTTCGATTCTGTTGAAGATACTATATTTACTCGGCCTGCTATGTACCTGTAAGGGAAAAAATTGAAAATAGCTTGTCTCCACAATTATTAATATAGGTCTACATGTGCACAATACTCAGCATGAAAGTAAACCCTATAGTTATGAGTAGTATCATATTGATCACCCAAATGAAAGTTTTTGAATTGATTACTTACCTTTTTGTAAATTTTTGATTTATTAAAAGAGAAAACCACAGATATATTAGTGCAGACTGCATCACCAATTTTTACTATGCAACACTTAAAATTGTGTTGGATTAATTTAAGTTTAAAATAAACTAGGTAGTCAGCCAAGTTGCCAAAAATAAAGTGGCCAAGTTTCTGTGAGATTAATGAAATTGACTTTTCAAACAGAATGTCATAATATATTATTGCAAGTCGAAATCAATCTTATTGCTTAACATTCAAATAATACTCGATCGCAGGATGTTAGACCATATTTTATTTTATTTTATTTAAAACGAAAATAAGCACTTACCCACATAATATTATTGTAAAACATTGAAATAAAGCTGGATATAAATTATCAGCAGCAGTATCATATAATAAAGATGATGCTTCTTGCATGTTAATAATAATTATAACAACAATAACAATTTTTCTTCCACCTAAATTCGGTTAATATAGGTACATTTTCACATATAAATCTGGTAAAAGTAAAAAATCAAATGTAGGTTTCTTTGAACTCCAAACTCCTTTAATTTAATCACAATTATAGCGATCAGTAAAATAAGTAGATGTAATGTAATTTGTAATTTTAACAAAACTCTGTTTCATTCCCCTTCCCCTTCTTCTTTTTCTTTTTTAATTCATTTTAATTCATGGCCTATTTGCGTTTGCACAATTCCGCCAATGTCACGTTTGTGGTCTTTACACATAAAGGAACAATAGTAAAATTTGTATGTCAATTTTGAATTTTGGGGTTATAGATAAAACAATAAATAAAAAAACCTTGAGCGCGTCTATCTTCTTCTTCTTAACCAGTATAATCTTAGTTCTTAACTTTAATGGCACATTGCGTCACCACAATACTGGCAACTCCACGTAGGAGATCATTACACGATTTACATTTGAAATACATTCATTCAACCAAACAATTTGAATTGCCAATTCTATCTTTCTACGTGGGTTTACCAAAAACAACACGTTAAACGATTTTAATAAGTTAGTTAAGGAATAATTTTATATGAACAATCATTTAATAATAATCATTTTGAGTCTAACCATAGACCATTATTAAATCAAATAATTGTGTTAAAGTAAGTGAACGAAAGATAATGCTACTGTTAACACAGATTTAAACAGACGTAAAAACTATCAGATTTTGTTAGAGAAAATAGGTTTTGAAGACAACCTTTTTCTTGACAACATTTTTTTTTATACTGTTAACTACTGTTTTTGCTTGTTCTGTTATTATGTCTTTTTCACTGTCATTCATAAGCAGTGGTCGGAATTAGGTAGAGTTATTCATGTACTTACAGTGATTTCATACAGCGAAAAAATAAAGTGGATATGCCTCAAATCCCGAGATTAATTTTAAAGAGCAGAAAAAATCCCGTGATTTTTTGAAATAAAAAGTTATTTACTTTTACACAATTTAAACTACTGCACGCACGACGTTGCCAAACCCACATCAATGACATCGGATGTCCAAAGTTGCAAAATACCAATACGCGCGATGTTGCCACATTTGTAGTTCGCATAAGATAGCTTGTGAGAACAAAAGAATACAATAGCGCAAATTCGGAGCACTCCCCACTTAACGTAATGTACTAGATTGTATTTATTTCTACCGCATTCAAACTATCTATTAGCAATGAATCGGTTTACTCATTCACTCAGCTCATTCGCTTACCTCGGTTCGTCGAATGCGCTCACTTGTTTCCTATTGTGTTTTGCGTAGTCAGTCCTGTTTGACCCTGGCTCGTTTACTGGATTCTGGACTCTACTTAATACGACTATTTCGGCACGCATTAACGGACTTTGATTTGGCCTTACTGTATTGGATAATTGGATATTTGAAATTGGTGATGTACTTGGTAAGTTTCTTGTTCATATTTTTATTAAAATTCCTTTAAAATAGATTTTCCCTATGTAGAACGTTTTCTTGTATTGTTATCAAAATCGGTATTGTTTAACTTAAGATGTTCTTTGATGCAATCACAATAAAGTAACAATGATTTCAAATGCTACTGAAGAAGCTTAACATACAGGACTCGTTTTTTTAATTGATTGACTATATGGTTAACAATTGGAGTTAGATTTTCTGGTAATCTTTTATTGATTTTCTTTTTTAGCTTTAAACTTTAGTATAAAACTAAGTTCGCTTCCCGCCGTCTGTCTATCTGTATGAATTTATGCACGTTTCGATCTTTTAAACTTCGCAACTGTTGTGCCCTATTTCTCAGATACTTACAAACACATTCATACGGTTTTCTAAAATTTATAATTTTTTTGCTCCAGATTAAAAGTATTATCAAGGCTCAGAGTTCAATCGAAGAAGCCACCGTCAACAAGTGGATCAAAGATAATCCGGAGCTATTTTACGACCATGCAAGTGGATTAATTTACTGCTCTAAATGCGAAGCACATTTGAATGCAACTCGTCAGAGTAACGTCCAAAGACGTATAGAAGGAGCAGTACATAAAGGCACGAAGAACGAGAGCCACACTCCTTTAGAATTTTACTTCGACTCAATCGAATTTATGATTATTTATAACATACCATGGTCCCAACTGAACAACAATGTATTTAAAATATTTTTTCAAAACTACATGTGTTGCAATTGCAATAATATTGAACTACCTAGTGAATCCTTATTGAGAAAAGTTTACCTGGATCAGCTTTTTAAAATCAAAGCACAAGAGATGCAAAGTAAGATTGTAGATAAAAAGCTATGGCTTTCAGTAGACGAAACTACGAATTTCTTAGAAAGAGCTGTCGTACATTTGTTGGTGAGACCATTACAACCTAGTAGGTGCTATCAGCCTTACTAAGTGGCATGTAAAATGCTAGATACTGTAAATGGAACAAAAATATCACAATTTGTTCAAGATTCTTTAAACAATATGTGGGGAAGTTCATTTGAGAGCAAACTAGATAACGTAAGAATATTATGTATAGACAGTGTGGCATACATGATATCAGCTGGTAGAATTTTAAAATCAACTTTTCCAAAAATGTTGCATTTCACATGTTTAGCCCATGCTTTAAATCTTGTTGCGGGGCAGATTAGAAAAGAGAACCCTAATGTTGACAGTTTAGTTTCAAATATGAAAAAAGTTTTTTTGAAGGCACCAAAAAGAATTAAAATCTTTAAAGAAATGTGTCTGGATTTACCTTTACCTCCTGCACCTGTAATTACCAGATGGGGTACTTGGCTTGATGCAGCATTCTATTACGCTAAGCATTTCGATGAAATAAAATCTGTATTGTCTGTGCTGAACAGTCAAGTGGCAAAATCAATAGATGATGATGTTTGATTTGTTGATAAGGATGATTTGTCTAGTATTTACGAAAAATTTTCAATTATACCAACAGCTTTGACATCACTACAGAAACCCGATCTTTCTCTAATGGAATCATTTGAAATATTTGATGCAGTGAGATTAGCTTTGAGATGGGCAAATTGTGAGAGCTTAGAAGATAAAACGGAAAAAGTCATGGGTAGAAATCCTGACTTGGACACTATCAGAAATATAGCAGAAAAAATTTCTTCCTGCACTAATGACGAGGAGGAGGAAGTGTATAAATTTGCTAACCTCACCTCAGTTGACGTAGAGCGATCTTTTTTAATATACAAATGGATTTTAAATGTTCGGAGAAATTCATTGAAGTCAAAAAATATTAAAAAGTTTATGATTATATATTTTAATTCTCACAAAAGTTATACAGTAATGTCGGAAGCGAACACTTCAAATCTTACTGGTAATCAATCGGACAAGGAAAATGATTCTGATGGGCCGTTTAAATAGGCAAAACGTCATGAGTCTAGGCTAGAAGAAAAAGTATTCGCTCGTATTTATAAAAAAGGCGAAATATGCGTATGAGAATTTGCTTAAGACTATCAATAATTTGTATTGTAAATTAATGTAAACTAATAAAAATTTTATGTTAATTATCTTTGTTTTATTTGTCTATCTCTGACGTTGTTATTATTATTTAATTGTAAGATTGTTGGCCACACGGGATTGTCCATTAGAAATCCCGGGAAGGACCACATTAATATCAACATTTCGATGCAAGTACTTAAATAACTCTATCTAATTCCGACCTCTGTTCATAAGTCATTCATTAATATGTATATTTTACAACTAAAATATATTTATTATTTGTTAAAACCATTTTATTCTTTGACACTCTGAGCGCAACTATCGATGCAATTAGATGAAGTGTGCCATCTAATAGATTTGTATTCATTATAATCAAAAACATATCCCTCTTCTTTTTTTTAATTAATGGCGTTGTTCTTGTGGATTTCGCTAGAATCCAGTGTTTCGCTCAGATTAATTCATATTTAAGTATTTTATAAACTTTGATTTTTGTATGTTCGTAGTGAAAGCCCAAGTTAAATTTAAAATTATAATTCACTACAAATAAATCTGCCATACAGATTTACATCTACTGTCAGTGTGACTTCCGTAATATTGAAGTTTTTGTAATGTCCTATATATTAATATACGGTCACTACAATCCAAGAAAGAACTACATCCATAGAGGAATAATATTGATTGGATTTACTGGTTATAATGAGGAAGTATTGAAGAAAAGTTTCCGAAATCAAACTAGATGTCGCTACGGTATTTTCTTGATTTCTCCATGACCAGTCGTTCGGCTTTCTTTCATGTATAAAAGTAAATTAAAAAAGAATAAAAGTACATATTTTCAAAATTCAATAAAAAAACTAATATTCTAATTGTAAATTTTCGTATTTGTATTGATATGTAAGTTTCGAACTTTGCTAATTTCAATTTTTTTATATGTTAGTTAGAAGGAATGGAAATTACTAACTTTGGTCCATTCGTTTCCTGCAAAAATCAACTTTTGCTAGAGTTGCCATCTAGTGGAGGTGCTTTTTAGTGTTTTCGTTTTTTTTTTTCACAGCGGGCCAGGCTGTGCGCAACATACATCTGTGCGTTATGATTTAAGGCTTTTTTTAAAGAATAATTATTGTTTTTTTGTATTGTTTCTTTGGAAAAATATTTCAAAATAACATTTTAAAACGTTTTTTATAAAAAAAATGGATTTTTTGTTTTCAAATTGAAATCAAATATCTCAAATATCTCCATCTCCCTGGATTATTCTAGAACAAACGTTGTCAGTATTGATGACCCCAACATGTACCTTTTGTTCCATCCATATTTCGAATTTTTAGAAAGTGAGGTTTTATTTACTTCTGTGTGAGGGTTTGCATTTCTCCTACAGAATTGCATTGGTTTAGTTAGATCATGTTTAAATCAAGTAAGTTATCGAGTGATGAGACCATATCTATGGATGCAATAATATATCTGGCAATATCTCTTTTGAGGGCCGAAAAAATCAATACTTATTATTTCAGTGGCAACTCTGTAACCTATTTTTTTCATTATACCAGGCGTTTCCGTTTCCTTCCGAGGTCGGCCATTATCGAGTTGTTCGTTCGCCGGGTTTGTGATAGGTCTGGCGTGAATGAAAAATCAAGTAAATCTTCAAATTCTCTCCTAATCGAGAGGTAAGATTTGTCCAGTTTAAGTTATTTTTTATCAGCTTGAATATCAAATATTTTCAATCTCGCTTGACTATCTTGTTATTCATATATCCATATGATACATTGTTCTAGATATCCACCCGAGCGTTTACCACCACGTAAGTTCACCAAAGAACTTATCTGAAATCCTAAATATGCAGTACAACGGATTCCACAATCAGCATCCTATGTGAGTCTTTTTCTATGATATTTTTTGTTGTATAGCCAGTCTGAATCTAATTGACTCGTTCCAATTGACTTTCCATAGCGGCCATTTTGTGAAAAGTTTAGCTCAGCTGATAATGGTCGCGTTGTAAATTTACTGGTGTGCTAATAGCTCCTTGTTACATTATTTCCTGTTCAACTTCGTCAAAGTATTTGTCCACGCCTATATACAATTTAACTAACATCATTTGAGTAATCCTTTGTCTAGCCTACCGTTTATAGTATATGTATAGGTATATACCTACTTGAAATATTTCAAGTCTGCTGTTGCCTTGCGACGCTTTCTCTCTCATATTCATAATCTACAGACCCAAAACGTTTTCGTGTTGGTAGTTGTATTCGAGAGAGTAACTATGTAGGTAGACTTAAGAAATAATTGGCCTACCAAGTTCTTTTATAAATTAATACATATATTTTTTAACAAAATTGACCTTGTAATTAATTTTATTGTATGAAGTTATTATTAACGCAGACTCGCACCTTTATTCACTAATCTAGAAAAAGGCATAGCTTAACTAGGAAACGCCAATATTACGAATCACCTAAGCAGATTAGTTCAATTTCAAATAAATATTCTTTTTTTATCTCTAGACATATTTATGATATACGCAAATGTCTAGCATAAGGCGCCGCTTAACAAATATCATAACATTAGACATTGCTTAATTTCATTAGGTGGTTCCTAGTCAATGGTGAAATGCATTTTTACCATAGGCAATACCTAAATATTTAGGAGACATATTTCGACGACTTCTAAGTTTAGTGAAAATTGGCATCTTCACCAATGCCAAAGTTATCTCATAAATTTGTGCCTGTGTATATATATTACTACTGGTCCAGTAATTTTTAAAGCTTGTAACTATTTAGGCTATAGCTATTGGATTATTATTTATTTTCTTTGATATCTGAACATTTATCTATCTATTTATCCTTTTACTTCTCTATTTGTTGCCTGAGTTCAGGAAAAACCATGATAATGAATTCCTAAGTTATGACTATATTAATGTTAATAGTACATTTTAAATTTATGGCTCCAATAAAATGACCTACTCCTCACCTATCCTATGACCGGGCTCTGACCAATCTGACAGAACCTTAAAATCTTGGGACCCACCTTTTACATGTCTCAGAAAAAAACATTTTAACTCATACCTATAATTGAGAGAACTAATTACTTGAGAATATGTCTTAACTTCAATATTTTTACCAAACGAGGAAGAATTTGTACCAAATAAGGAAGAAGTAATATCATTTCTACTAGTTCTTACTTCCTTCAATATTAGCTTAAAATATTTTAATATTTTCTTAAGAATTACTTCTCTTGTCTATAGATACAAGTATAATAGATTCACATTTGATGCAATTTAAAAATATGTTTCATACAGTGGTAAATCACCCATTAGGACCCAATTCAATATTGTGACATACTGCTCTCTTCATTTAGAGTGACACCATATTTACCCAATTAACAGTTTTATGATTGTTTCTTAAACTAATGATGGGACATTAAATAAGCAATGGAAAAAAATGTGGCTTTCGAATACACATACAAGATTCTGCTACATATTTTTTATTTTATGGTTGCATTTATGAATTTGAAATAGCGGTAAGGTAAGGCTGAATTTCAAGTTTTCAAAAATAAACACATCGTTTGTTCTTGTATTGATTGACCTGACAATCTTACTAGTAAATTAAATACTTCATTATATTGAGCAATATGTTATCTAGTTACAGACCTCGTCCAGACCGGAATGAACAATTCGGTAAAATTCCATTTTTTAATGGATTTCCTGACTTTGGAGGGCCTAAAAACTTTGGTGGCCCTAGAAACAATTTAGCTGCTAAAAATAATTTCAGGCCACGAAATGATTTCAATGGCATGAGGAATGATAACATGGTCTATCAGAAAAATGAGAATGTAAATCAAAATGATTTTGGGGGACCAAAAGAATATAGGCCTAGAAACAATTTTACCAACAATCAAGGTCAGAAGAAAAACGACTATGAAAATGGACCTAAGCCTGGTGGGAACATGCAATTTTACAACCCTAAAAATGATTTTGGTGGACCTAAACAACAAAATTTTCAGAAAAATAATTTTGGACCTAAGAATTTCAGCAATCAAAATGGAAACAATTGTCAAAATTATGCTGCAAAGAAAGTTTTTCCTAACCAGACTGCTGGACAGCAACCGAATGATTTTAATGCAAGAAAATTGCAGAGCAAAAAAGCAAAACATCCTGGAGACAGTTTAGTCAAGCCCATGTGGGATGTGGGAAATTTGGAACCAATTCAAAAAGATTTTTATAAACCACATCCTAATGTTGAAAGTCGATCAGACGAAGAAGTCCAAATGTTCCGTGCTGCGAAGGAGATTACAGTTAGTGGAAATAATGTCCCTCGTCCAAACCAAGTTTTTGATGAAGGCAATTTCCCTGAACATATCATGACTACTATTAAAGAACAAGGGTGGACTGAGCCTACTGGTATTCAGGCTCAAGGTTGGCCAATTGCCTTGTCTGGTCGTGATATGGTTGGTATTGCATCAACTGGATCAGGAAAAACTTTGGCTTATATGCTTCCTGCTGCAGTACATATTGTTCACCAACAAAGAATTCAGAGAGGTGATGGACCGGTTGCACTGATTTTAGCTCCTACGAGGGAATTGGCACAACAAATCCAGTCTGTTGCTCAAGCATATAGTGCACATGGTTGTATCAGAAATACATGTCTTTTTGGTGGATCTCCTAAAGGCCCTCAGGCAAGAGATCTGGAAAGAGGTGTAGAAATTGTTATCGCTACACCTGGACGGTTAATTGATTTCTTAGAGCGTGGAACGACCAATTTGCGCCGATGCACTTATTTGGTTTTAGATGAAGCTGATAGAATGTTGGACATGGGTTTTGAACCTCAGATTCGTAAAATTATTGAACAAATTCGTCCAGATCGTCAAGTACTTATGTGGTCTGCTACATGGCCCAAAGAAATTCAGGCCTTAGCTGAAGATTTCCTGAACGATTATGTCAAAGTCAATATTGGGTCTTTAAATCTGTCTGCTAATAATAACATCAAGCAGATTATTGAAGTCTGTGAGGAACATGAAAAGGAAAATAAGTTGACAAATTTATTGAAGGAAATCTCTTCTGAGAGGGACAATAAAGTTATTGTTTTTGTAGAAACTAAGAAGAAGGTAAATATACACAAAGATTATGACAAATTAAGCTTAATTAAATAAATAATTCCAATTTACTTACTAAGTAACTGTTTTCAGGTTGATGATATTGCACGGGCTGTTCGTCGCAATGGCCATAAGGCACTAGCCATTCATGGTGATAAGTCGCAGCCAGAGCGTGATGCCGTTCTTACAGAATTTAGAAACGGGGCCACAACTATTCTGATTGCAACTGATGTAGCTGCGCGAGGTTTGGATGTTGAAGATGTTAAGTTTGTTGTCAACTTTGACTATCCTAACTCTTCCGAGGATTACATCCACAGAATTGGTAAACACAATTTTTTTGTAAAAAATATCTAAATCAAATCAAAAGATATCTGCTTTATTAGTAACTATTATATTATAAAAATTTTAGGTCGTACTGGACGTTGCCAGCAATCTGGAACAGCATACACATACTTCACTAGTGGTGATGCTCGTCAATCTCGCGCTTTGGTAGCTGTACTGCGAGAAACTGGCCAAAACCCACCGTCCAAACTAAATGACATGGCTAGAAACAATAACAGCAATTCAGGTAATAATAATGATTGTGTAAAAATCTTTACTTTTTTCTTCTCTCAATTTATATGAGTGTTTATGAGTAAATTATATATATTTGTCAGGGCGTAATCGTTGGCAACAGAGAAAGGAAAACAATAGTGGCTCTAGCTCTCCACGTCAACAGAACAACCAATGGAACAACAAAATGGCTAATGTCAATAATGAAGATAATTCCAATACTAACACATATCAGAACAGGAACACAAATCAACAACCTCCACGTTTCACAAATCAAAATCAGACCAACCAGGGCTACAGACAAAACAACTACCAGAAACAGCAGGTGCCTTTCCCGAGTCCCAATGTTTTTGATTCAATGGGTGGCTACCAAGGTGGATACAATAACGGATATCAAAATGGTTACAACAATCAAAACAACTATGGTCAACAACGGTCTTATAATAGTGAGTTTTGTTTTTAAATGTTTTTTCATTCTTTATTTACTTTAAATTTAATTTATCTATAAATGCACTGCTATTTTTTATGTATTATGTATGGATTCTGATTATGCATAGCCTGATTTATACTTATAATATGTACTTAATAATCATATTCATAATATTAAGTGATGTTCAATGTTCATAGATACGCGCAATGGAAACCAACAGTTCCGCAATAACAACTCCAGCGGTAACAAATCTAACGGATCTGGATCATCCTTTGGATCGCCGCCGCCTCACTTCGCTACTCCTCATTTCCCACAAATGCACCCTCATCACCAAGACATGCTTGGTAAGTCTAGGCTTAAAAGTTTGCATGTGTAGTTGCATTTGCATTTATTGAACGTCCTTACAAATAATAATGACATTCCACTAATAATCTCTAACTTCAAAGAAATATTAGAATAATAAACAAATCAAATACCCAGGTTGACTGGAATAAAATTAAATGAGGTAGTGCCAACAAAATTGTTGAAGTTAAAACATTTTATATTTTGGTGAAATCAGGTGGCAAATTCTATGGCGGTGGCGTGGGCGGTGGTGGGCCGTGTGGGTATCAAGCTGCTGTTGGTGCGAGTGTGCCGTACGCCCACTTGCCTCCTGGACCTCTCCTCTATGCTGCACCAGTACAACAGTAAACACATACAACGTCCCCGAATTATTGTACAATCAATGACAGTTTAACGATTAAGCGTCAAATTAAGACGCATCTCTCGAGGTCTCTCTAAAATTCCACTAAAAATTATCTCAAAGTTTTTAAATCTGATTGTCTTGATGTACCTACTTAGATGTATAAATTTAAACAAAAGGTTGACCATGCGGGATGTTGTTTTTTTTCTCTTATGATATTTCAGTTTTTATTTTTACGATTAGAATATCGGTAATTGTAGATCTGAATGAAGGCTTACAAAATAAAACTTAAGTATGGACAATATTATTGCTATAAATGTAACTTATTTTTTTAACGGATATTCACTGTATCCGCTAATAAGTTACAATGGCACCATGATAATGGTAATGTTTTGAGAATTCTGTTCAGATCGACTTGAATTAACAAGTGTATTATTGTGTGTTAGTTTTATAAGGCATTACTGCGTCACATGCGCCTTTCTACATCAATCTGTATTCATGGCGTTCAAATTTAAGTGCTAGTCGATGTTAGCGAGATAAAATTGCGTCGATTTATTTTTCGAACACAGATTATTATTAACCTTGAAGATCTTTCTAAATGGAGGATTAATTTTAAAATATTTAATAAGGATTATTGAAATGCGTATGTGACCAGTTGAGAACTCTTAATCCAAAATAAGTGTGGTGGAACATTAACTGTCTCTTCTACCTTTAGATTTTAATCATTATATTTTAGAGTAGTTGGTGTGGGTACCCTATTGTGTAATCCCGGGTGCCTTTCGTTTTTCTTTAAAATGTCTGTATGATGTACGAAATGCACGAAACATAAAGAAGATGAGTGAAATTATAGAGGGAAAGTTTAAGGGATAGAAAACTTTATCTGAGATGTTTTATATAAATTATTTTTATTACTAATAAATTGATCTTATCCAGTGAAAAGTGGGACAACTTAGATTTAGAAAATTAATACTTATAAAACGCTTTGAATATACTTCTTTGTAACAATCTGTATTGCCAGATAAAATTGTGAATATTTTTCTTATTTAAAAGTGATGTCAATGACATTTCAGTCACTGATTTCAGGGTTATTTTTTTATTGAAGATTAGATCTTGATAAACTTGAATATTACGTCTAGGGTAAAGTCTGTGTCAATTGGACATAGATAACAGTTGAACTATAGAAATGTTCAATACTAATTTTACCATACTCAAAAATGTAGAAAGTATGTAAATAACATGCATTTATCTTAGGATGATTAGTATTTTGAGCGTGATAAATAATAATCGAACAATTATTGCTTTTGTTTCTTAGCAAAATAAGTATTTTCTTCTACTTATTTCGATTATTTTTTTAGGATGTGATTCCAGATATTCGTCTAGTACTACTGGATTTTCTTTGTACGTAAACGGGTTCTAATAAGGGCTTAATATGTAATAGGATGTCAATAGGTACAAATTATCTACTGAAGCAGTAATAATGTTTTGTACAGGCCCGTTACTGTCCAAAGATGTGAAAAATCTGTGATATGTCAATACTATATATCCTGTCGTTGCGTTTGGTCAATTGTTATAAATACATAATTATAACACTTTCTGCTTTCGGAATGTGTTTTAGACAAAAAGATATATTTTTTGACTATTTGAACGAATTTCATGAATGTTTGTGACATCAAAGATCGCAAGACGTTCACAGATATAATATAATGATATGATAGTTATAAGATTTAATAATTTATTGTTATTCAATTTAGTTTTCAGTTTACTGTTCGGTGACGAAATTGAACCAGTTCAAAAGGGACGTAAACGTTATTATCTTTGTAAGAATCCCGTTTTTGGTACATCTCATTACGATGTAAAGCTACGGGTCGGAGCGAATAAGGGGGTGAACATCGTGTTCGTGAGTCTCGCAAACGTTACTATGCGGGATTTGCTTTGTTATTTGTGTACATTTTACGAGAAAGACTGCCATGAAAGGATGTGTATATGTGCTTAACTCATCTCAGAGATGATTTCGTAAGTGCTGGCCTGGTGACATTATAGTCGCATTATTATTCAGACTGGTAGGTTTCGTCTGATGTAGTTTTTCGTTTGGCGGCAGGGCGCGTGTATCAGGCTGGCTAGCGTGCATATTGGAGCGGCAGGTGCGTGTCGTGTCGAGTATGGTCGCGGTTCGTAGGTAGCTCCTGTGTATTATTATGTACAAAGTACTGCACCCACCTCTACTAAACAACTGTGATAATAACACTAAGTAGCGTAGCAGGCGATTTATATACTAGTTACGTCCAAGTGAAGGGATGACATCATATCTGACATACTGTATTGTGATAAATATATCGAAACAACCTTTTAGGTGGGTTTTGACTAAACGTTTTCTCTAAACAAGACTGATTATTTCTTATTGATAAATATTTTATACATGTTCCACTGACTGAATGAATTAAGATGTCTGTATTTATTGGTAGAATATTTCTCTCTTGCTGTGTGTTTCTCTTTAAAATTGAGTATTCACTATGTTGGATATGTGTCAAAACGCCTTTCTATGCGGTCACCAAATCGATGAAAAATATCGTCATGTTTTTATTCATTGATTTCTACACCTTTTGTTGTGATGAAAAATGTTGTTGACAAATTAGGTAGCAGCAGCGGCAGTTTGAACACTACATAGAGTATTATATAATTTTTGTTGTTTATTTGCAAATATTTATTTATTCAACCCATATCTTATAGGCAATCGTACTTTCCTGCTTTACTATGTACCTAAGAATTATTTTCAAAAATATTGCAAGTACGTGAAAAATATACATAGATTTTTAAGTATGTGGCAATGCAGATCTTCATAAAATATTGATTATATTACGACATAGTTTGTATTTATTCAATTTATAAAATTATATGGAGAGAGGCTCCTTATAACACTGTCCCAAAGGGAAGTCTTCTGGATGTTTCTAAGAAGTGCATTTCTTCTATGTAATACAGTATTAAATTCAGATTAATAAATGAATGTATAATTATTATTTCTTGCATATTATTTCAAATCATTTTCAAAATGTACAAATGGTGCTTAATTCCCGTTTCCATATCCCAGAAAGTATTTAACAAATGTCCATAATTTGGATCGGGAGTCTACATGTAAATTATTTCATGGGCTCGTCAGTAAAAAACAACCTAGTCAAATCTTCGTAAAGCCGCATTTTAATAAGAACACTACTACAAGGGTTGCGTACGAGGCTGGCAGCGCCATCCTCTTTGATTTGGAAATTAATCTTGATTCATCTAGACCGTTCTGTTCGTACCCAATTTGACTTTTCCTATCAGTCAGTTACAAAATGGGATAAAGCATCGAAGATTACGTACCTAGTTTTGGAGACAAACAATAGTCATTGTGGCTCTGCTGGACTGGCACCATTCATTAGTTTCAGGTTTTGTATTAAATAAAATGCATTTATGAATAATAAAAAAAACAGAAGGATGCTAAATTGCCACAATTGGGAAGGTCATTTGAGAATTTTGCTTGCAATAAGCTGAAAATATTGGTGGGAATTTTCTTTATGATATTTCAATGCCTAGTTTTGTTTCTTGTACCTACTTAACGTAGATAATCATAAATAAATTTTAATTAAAATAAAATATTTAAAGAATATAGTTACTCAATACTCCTAGTTAATTCCCACTTTGGGAACGCTGCCAATTATTACTAATAATTCATAAAAATAATTATAGGACATTGTGGCGCTGCTGGGATAACATCAGTACAGCAGCAGTGTATAGTTTAAAGAGGTAACAAAAATGTACAAAAGTTTTAAAGCTTGATATTTCACCATGTTAAGTACTAAGAGTACACATCATTTTGTCCCTGTCAGGAGGTCGGAAGTCAGGTGCCCGAACACCTTGTAGCTAATTTTCGCAACAGCTTCAAAGACGTACTAAATCGGCGCGATACACAGCTGTAAGTATACAGTAGCTGTAAAATATATTGTGGTTGTCGAGATCATGTGAGACATTCCACTTTATGGTTCCCCAACTCTCAAGATATCAAAAATTTTAATGTTTTATACATATATATGATTAAGGTTTCATGAATTTATGCTAAAATGACATAAAATATTGCTTCTATGAGCTTCTAAAGTTCTATATTTTAGAAGGTAAAGCGTGGTATGTAATATATTAGTATATGTCTAAAAGTATTCACTTTGGTTATTTATCGCCTGACACACAACATTGGAACTTGTGATATCTTACGGTGAACGTCAGACAGGCAGCCTAATAGTATGGGGATGGATTTTCAAATGAACTATCTATTGAGTGCGTTATGGAACTGGGACAAATAGATAATCTAATAATTTCGAAGATAAACGAGAGTCTTTGTGGCTCTGCTGGGCTGATGTCATTTCAGCAGTATCACACTATATCTTCTAAACCACAGAGTACGTATTTGCCTTGATTATTTTGTCAGACACTTTTCCTTGGGATAATTTAAATAATTGCTACATCTTTTATTTAACATATTTTTGCAGTTACAACTAAATTAGATGAATGAAGTAAATATGCAGCAAACATATTGACACAACTCATTTCGGAAAATTGCATGCTTGACTTTAAACTAAGAGGTGACCAGCCAACCAAACGTCTGGAAAATATTTTATTTCCAAATATATATCCTATGTAGCAATTATTTATTATCTGTAGTAAATATAAGCAATTATATAGCAATTTTCGAATCAATTCAAATAGACCAACGCCAGAGCAGCAGCTTTGTTTACTCGTTTCTTTGCTTTATGGGTTAGTCTAAAGAGTACTTTATAGTAAAGGGAAGTTTACTCCCAACGCGATATACGCCTCTGTGTTAACCGTTCTTGATGGTGCTGCATTCTGGCGACAGAAAGTTGAAATGGGTCCTACGGATTAAAAAATGACACCATTACTTTTAGAAATTTAAAACAAATTTTATTCAATAATGGTATTCTAGAACAGACAATAATAAAATTATTTGATTGTCTTCGTAATCATAAACGAATAAACAATAATATATAACGTGACATCTGCTTTGATTTCACAAACTATTTTATAGTTATGCTTCATCAAAACCATGAACCAATCAAAAGTTACATACCTACTAAACTAAAGTAAGTGGGCACAATCCCTACCTATAAAATTTTCTTGATCATAACTTCATCGTTCTCGTTGACTAATATCTGACATGAGTAATATACCGTAGTCTAATACTTGAGGTTGATTGTACTGCATGATTAAAATTTTCAAATTAGAACTGCCCTCTTGGGAGTTATATCTGAAGCAACAGATTTACATTGCAAGGAAATAACCTGTCACTGTATGTGTTCTTTGGTTTAAAACATAGTTCCAAAACGCTACAAGAGATGTCACGTGGCTAGCCAAAATGTCAAATTTTTGTTGGACGTCTGGGTTGAATGTCTGATAATGATAATTCCCAAATTTTGTTAATATTGTTAATAATTGGTGGCTGTTTCTATTTCAAAAGCTGTGTTACATTTCTATTTATCGAGAAGTTTGTGAATCTTGTTGTTAAGATTAGTTTATTTTATTCATGTGTATGAGAAGCAATTGAAACGATGATCCTAACGAGGTCATTATTTCAATGGCTGAAAACGGAATGGTATGTATTAAAACTTGAAATTTGCTTTATAGTGTGTTCTCAATGACCTAGAGACGACAGGGTTTTTATTTGTAAAATAGGAGTAAGTTAAGACAGTGTGCAATGCCACATAACCAAACTTTCGCTAAACTAGACGGCCTTGAATCTAATCTTGTCAAGTCAATGTCGTTTGTTTATCAGTTACATTTAGATCTAATAGGAATTTGGAGTTATTAAAATATGACCTTAAAAATTATATAATTACACTATATTTGTAAATTACCGAAAGAGTTAACGGCAAACTATATTTGTTTATCAGACTACTTGGTATTCAATTTTAAACCGAGCCCTATTTGCCTTTCCTACAAAAGCTCAATAGATCTTGTTATTACTTATAATGTGTCAGTTTCATGCTACTCTGTATTTCACAAAATCCAGTATAGTAACTACTCATTAAAATACAGATAATTACCTACATATACTTAATTAATAAATATAAATAGGACTTAGCACTTATATTATCTGTGATTTTAAGTTAACAAATAGAGCAGCATTTCTTAAAGTGTGTTCCGCGGCGCCCTAGGGTTCCGCAAAATTCATGCTAAGGGTTCACTAAAGTATTGGATGTGTTTCGGCACAAACAGTAACCACACAAAAACTAGTTTTTTAGGATTCCTTATAAATATTTAGTTTTAACCGCAGAAAATTTGAGCCCTATTTGAGACGCGTGTTCTAGACACGTATTGATGATACGGATTTAGGTTAGTACTGAGGATGCTAGATAATGTTAAACAGTACTTTTAAATGATTCAGATAATCGGCGATTTTCATTTTAATCATTTTCATTCATTCAATCAATGCAGTTCGCATTTAGGGATATTATTATAGTACCTTATACATGTTATTCGTTTGCTGATTAAAGACCTTGCCCGAAACTTCGTATCGAGCCATATTTATTAACGACTTTCCAAAAATCTTTTTTTATTCTAGTGTCTATTTCGACGATGAACTTGCCAAAAATCGAAAGGCAACGCAGAATTAGAATCTCGCAATATCTCCATTGCGAGATTCTAAAATTTATCCAAACGTCAATATAAAACGGAGATAATAGTATAATTTATATCAATCCTTTCTAGGATTCTCTAGAAGACTAGCAGATGGCCATCAAGGGCAGCAGCAACTAGGTTACTGCGTCATATACCCAACTAGGTCGCTTACAAACAAGGTAAGAAACGGCGCTTACTACGATAGTTCATGCGGTAGCATAGGAAATGCCTTTGTTATTATTGAACGTACTACGTACTTGATGTTAAATATTGTAGTACACTACTAAAATTGGACGAAACAGTCGTGTATATTAATTAATTTCCTTCAAATTGTCTAGCTATTAGACAGGTCATTGAAAATATCACAACTACCTTCAACAAGTCCGATTACTTTGTACATGTAATCAAAACACTGGCTATTTATAAAGATGACCATAATTAACTTCAAATATGAAGAAATAATCAATAGAAAAAACTTAAATTCAAGGGTATATTTTATTGAAACGCATCCTTTGTTTGTTTATTTAGAAACATTTCCGACTGTCATCCATTGCAGCTGTGTTTCAGATTTTTTAAATTTGAGATGTAGATCCGCAGGCTTATTCTGCTAATGCAAGTCGTTGAGATTCTATTGAGATGCGATTATTACGTAAACATTAGCAGAATTGGCCTACAGTATGCGTAATATAAGAGCTACAAATGCCATTAATATAAATGCGGTTCCTTCTATTGGATTGTCTTGTTTTTCTTTGCTCAAGTTCTCTTCCCATATAATTGTTTCTATTGTTAGTTTGTTTTGTGTAAATGATAAATCACTGACAATCAAACAATAGATAGTTTTCAACAGACTGCATATTAAGAAAAACATCAAGACGATTTATATTTACAGGAAGTTGAATGCGTCACTACCAAAGTTGTTTATACTAAGGTTATACTCGAGGACATCCTATAATGTCGTGTTTACTACAAACAAAATGTAATGCCTCGATTTTCCTACAATATCATAATTATTGTTTTCAGACGATTGGGTGTTCAACAGACTTTGTAGGCTTAAATTACTTTTGATATAAAAGTCTAAGAAAATCTACCCTCAAAACCATTTTAAACCTATTGGTTCAATATATCAACTAAAAATTAGCTTGTCTAGACCAAAGTTAGTAAAAGTTATCGATGTCTGATTCATAGTCTAGACAATGAAGATTTTCCGTAGAATTTTGCCAAGCAGTATGAATTTCACAATTATTTGGAATGAAGTTCTGCTTAGCCTCTTTATCAAAATCTGTCTCTGTCTGGTGGTTGCTTATGAAAGCTGAAGCAGAATGATCTGGGGGTGCATGCTAGCCCTCTCGGAGCCGAA